TTTTAATAGATTTTTTACAGAGAGGGAGAGGGGTAGAGAGTTAGAAGCATCAATGAGAGAGAGACATGGATCAGCTGCCTCCTGCACACCCCTTCCTGGGGATGTGCCTGCAACCAAGGTACATGCCCTTGACTGGAATCGAACCTGGGACCTTTCAGTCCACAGGCCGATGCTCTATCCACTGAGCCAAACCAGTTTCGGCTGGGCCCACACTTCTTACCCTCTTGAGGTTAGGCATGCCATGTGACTTGCGTTGACCAATGAAATGTAAGCAAAGGTAACGTGTGTTACCTTCAGAGCAAGGCTCCAGGAGCTGGGGTGGGAGGGAGGAGGAGGGTTGCTGGGCCCTCCTTTTCCAGTCTCTGTGATTATGTCACCATAGAGCCTCCATCACCCGGGTGATGGAAGTGACTAGGCACATAGTAGGTGCTTAGTAAGGGACCACCATGGACAGTGCCCTCCAGCAACAAAGGACACACAGTGCAAGAGAGAAAAAAATCCCTGAGACATAGGGCTGTTTGTCACTGTAGTGGAACTTGGCCTCTCTCGGCTCATACAGAGCATCTGGGGCCTTTTCCTCCTCAAAACTGTCAAGAAAAGACATGGATGCACTTGAGTTCTTCCCAGGAAGGTCTTCCCTGATAGTGCTCAGCTCCTCCCATTCCTCTCCTGAGGAAGAGGGTCCTCCCCAAGCAGAATCGCCTCCTCCATCTCCCCTTTCTTCCCTCCAGCCCTTAAGGATGAGGGGATGGACAAGGACATAACATATAAGGCGCAGGAACTCACTTCAGGCCCATAATGACGGCGGCCGCTCGCAATGAGGCTGACAGCTTTTAGTCGGGTTCTGGATTTATGGCCCCAGGTGAGGAGCCATTCCATTGAAGGCTCCCATCCCACAAGAATGGTTTATGGCTGGGAGTTGGCCAAAGACAGCAGCAGTGGCAGCTTCCTCCCCGTCCTTTCCAGAGATGGTCTGTAACACCCTCTCTGAGAATCTCTTAGAATGCTAAGCTGCTCCTCTGGATCAGATCGGAGAGGGGAAGCCAGAGGCAAGAAGCCCCAGAGAGTCTGGGCTCACCAGCTCTCACACCTCACAACTGAGGCTCTTTAAGCCAATACCAGCATTCAAAATTCTGCCTTGTAACGGGATTCTCACTACCTGCGCTCCTGAACCCGTCAGCTTACTTACCCATGTTGGTGCTCCATATCTTCTTACAACTCCTCCTTACTAAGCACCTACTATGTGCCTAGTCACTTCCATTTGTCCTTCCCAGTCCTTAGGAGAGTGGATTATTGATTTAAACACTTCAAATTATTTATTCCAGGCATATTATGTGCTTGGTTACAGTGGCAAAGTACCTCCTCCTTACTTAGCACCTATATCAGCAATTTTCAACTGGTTTGCCGCAAGAATTTTAAAAACATGCAATACCTGACTATTTAGTCAAGGGCACTGACCTCTTTTCCCTTAGATTGTCACATAAAAAAAATAAATAAATAAAAAGACAACAGCCAGCACCACAATAGCCGTCTAGCATGAATGAACCAATAGTATACCTTTTTTTTTTTCATCAGCTCAGCAAAAAATATATTTTTGGTGTGCCGCAGAATTTTAGTAATTAGTTTATATGTGCCATGAGACGAAAAGGTTGAAAATCGCTGACCTATGTGTACCCAACCATGTGTTTCCATTTGAAGGTTGAATCCTTGAATCCTTATGAAGATTTGATTGTTGATGCAGCCAGTTGACAAATACAGAGTGTCCCTGAATACACACTTTAACAGCTGACAGCTCAATTTTGAAAATGAACTGTATTTTTAAAAATTTTTTTAAATATTTTATTGATTTCAGAGAGGAAGGGAGAGGGAGAGGGAGAGAGAAACAACAATGATGAGAATCACTGATTAGCTGCCTCCTGCACATACCCCCCCTAGGGGTTGAGCCCACAACACCAGCATGTGCCCCAATTGATCAGGAATCAAACCATGACCTCCAGGTTCGCAGGTCTACGCTCAACACTGAGTCATGCAGGCCCAGGGGTGAGGGTGGAGAATGAAATGTATTTTAATAACCACTGCCTTTATAATTATTCAAAGTGTGTGTATACATTTAGGGGGACATTCTATATGTATTGCATGCCTACTATGCATCAAGCCTTAGGGTTCAGTAGTGAGCAAAACATTGATATCCACGTGGGTCCTATGGTTTAATGGGGAGTCTGACTCTCCTTGACGATGGGGATACTGGAACTTAAATAGATCAAATAATTTCCCTCAAGGTCATTCTGCTAATAAATTTCAGTGCCAGAATTCAGACCCAGGTGTCTGACTTGGAGTCCTGTCTCTAACTGAGAATCTACTCCAGGCATTGGGCTGGGGCTTCCAAGCATACACGTGGTTGACAAAGGGGAAGCACTCAATGATTTTGTTAATTAAACAAGATAGATGGAAGGATGGATGGAGACATGGATGGATGGAAGGATGAATAAATAGAGGATAGATGAAGAAGTGGTTAGATGGTGGATAATGACTGAATGGAGGGATACATGAATACATGGATAGAGAAACAGACAGATGGAAAGAGAAATGGAGAGAAATTATGGCTATTAGCTGGAGAGGTGGATGAAGAGATGAATGGAGGAATGAAAAAATAAATGGATGAGTGGATGGATGGATGGATGGATGGATAGATAGATGGAGAGATGGATAGAAGAATAGAGATGGGTGAATGGATTAAGGATGGATGAATGGATGGGAAGCTGGACAGTAGATCTGTTAACCATGACAATTCTGTGAGGTAAGAATCACCATGCCCATTTTATAGATGAATAAACTACACAGAGGTGAAGTCACTGGCCCAGAATCAAGAGCAGGTCATAGAGCAAGTTTGGAGAAAGTCTGGATCCCACCCAGGTCTATGAGACACACCAAAGACCCTTCTAGAATACCTTCATGTCAGAGTTCCCTCCCAGGTCCCGGCTCTCATTCCACAGAGTGAGAGCTTAGTGAGACTTGGAGATGGGGTGGGGATCAGGGTGGGAGAACTCTTAGCTTCAGCAGGCAATTTCATGGAAGCATTGATCAAGGCACTATGAACTATGGATGGGCCAGAATGGAGACCAGGTCTGTTTGAGTGCACGCGCGCACGCACACACACTAATATTTACAGAAAACACGTGGTACACAAAGGAATCCACCCACACACATATAATTCAAGGTAGGCGTAGATACACACTTGCACATCTATGCACACTCTTCTGAAGACATACATGTCTACACTTAAAATGCACATAAAACACACATATGCATATGTACATACTTGTACAGACACATAAGCACACAAAAAATCATAACTCAGAGAGATCCACTCTTACACACTTATGCACACGTTCTTCAGACGTAGCGTATGCTCCCATTGACACACCACACACTGCACATAATCCATGCACACATTTACAGACACTCGCACGCCTAAGATGGTGGGTGAGAGGAATCTGGCTTCTGATTTCAATGAGACAACACCATCTTTCCTGCCCCTCAGAAGGTAGCAACAAGAAGGCTGTCTCCTGTGCACAAACTCACATGTGCACATGCAGTCACATAACACATGCAAATCCACAGTCCGGGACATACAGCTGCAGACACACACTTAGGTGCACCTGCACCGAGACACACTCACTCAGGGACACACTCACACTTGTCCTGGGCTGCCCCCTTACCCACGAAGACACATGTAGACCCTCACGCTGGCCAAGCACGTGACCTTTCTCGCAGCCCCCTCTCACACACACCCTCACAGACACACGGAAGATGGGCACACCAGGGCGTACTGTGAGGCGCACAGAAAGACACTGGCTCACACGCCGGCTTCAAGTCTGAGAATTTGGACTGAAAGCCCTCACCTGTGCCAAACCCAGGGCCATTTCTCCCCAGGGGCTGAGCCAGGCCTGGGCACGGTGCATGGCACCCCTCTCCGCTTGCCTGAAACTCTTTGGAGCAAAGACCTTTTTTCCTTCATGGGAGGGATGGGAAGAAGCAGCCTGGCAGCCATTGGAAGCTGGACCGGGTTGCTGGGTTGCTGGCGAAGTTGGGGGGAAATCAAGCAGGAGAGGGAGCCCAAGCATCCCAGCTCCATGCTAGGGGAGGAGTCCCGGGAACAGACTGAAGAAGGGAAGGGGTAGGAGGGACCTATCTGGAGGAGGCTGAGGGAAGTTTTCCACGGAGGATACCTCCCCGCCACCCTCTCCTCAGGACCACCATTATAAATCCCCTCCCTCCCCTCCGGCTCTGTGGCAGGAAAAGCTAGAGGATGAAGGTGATAGAGGAGAGGATGGCATGGGGGAGGGGGCAGGTCTGGAGCTCCTGGGGGCAGCCCCCGCCCCCGCCCAGGCTGAGACCCTTCTGGGAGGGCGAGTTATGGGAATAAATATGCAGCACGTGGTAAGGCAGGTAAGGAAGAGGGAGATGCTGGGGAGTGGGGGGGAGGATGTCGGAAGAGACACACACACAAAAAAAGATACAAAGTCAGAGACAGCGCAACAGAGACAGGGGAGAGACAGAAACAGAGAAGCAAACCACAGGCAAAGGAATAGACAGGCAGAGAGGCACATATAGAGACAGACGACAGTCAGACAGACAGACGCGGGACTATCCAGAGACCCCGACGCGAACAGGGAGAGATCCTGAAGGTGGAGGCACTCGGAGACCCCGAGGCTGCCCGGTTCAGAGGCGGTGCCCCCCACCCACACCTCCGCTCCGCCGCCTCCACCCCGGAGCCTCACACTCCGTTGCCCCTCGGACGCTGCTCACCACTGATCATAAGAAAATCGCAGGAACAGGAGTGAGGGTCCCGGGCCCGCCGCCGCCTCTGCGCCCGGCCCCCAGCCCCAGGAGGGCGCCCCCGGGCCGGGGAAACCGGGGGGCCGGGGGTCCCCGGGGGCTGCGGCGGCGGCCCGGGCACCACGCCCCCCGGGAGCGCCCCCCGCGCGGCAGCCACTCACGATTTTCTCGGAGGCGCCGGCGCGGGACACGGTGCCGTTGAGCCCCACGAGGGAGGGCAGCGTCTGCGACATCCAGTTGGTGACCATGGCCATGGTGCTCAGCACCGCGCCGATCTTGAGCAGCGGCACCGACATCGCGCCCCTGCCTCATGCCCCGCGGCCGCCCGCCCGCCGCTCCGGCCCTCGCCGCCCAGCCCCGCCGCCCGGGGTGGCGGTGGGGGGCGCCAGCTGGGGTCTGGGGTCTGGGGTCCGGGCCGCCGGCGGGGGCGCAGGGACGCGGGGCTGCGGCTCGGCGCGCCGGGCGGGCTCCGCTTATAAGGCGCCGGCTCGGCCCCCGCCCCCTCCCTCCCGCGCCTCCCTCCGCGCCGGGCACTTCCAGCCGCCGTGACGTCACGGCCCAGGCCCGGAGCCCGGCGGGGGGCGGGGGGCGCCCCGACTGCCCGCACCCCGCCCCAGGCTGGCCGCCCCAGCCCGGGCCGCCCCTCCCGGGGAGGTGCCCCCTCCGCGCCCCTGCCCTCCTGCCGCGCCCCCTTAGCCCGGGCACCCCCAGCCCCGCCCGGCGGGGCCGCCCCCTCCCCACCGCCGGCCGGCGGGGTTCCCCATCCCTGGCGCTCGGCCCCCCGCGACCACCCCACTGTGTCCTAACCGGAGTGCCCAAGTCCCCGCTCCTCCCCGGTTAGGACAGCAGCCCGGCTCTCTAAAGCCCGGGACACAGGTATGCGAGTCTGGGGGGCAGGATGGGGCGCCCCCATGCGTCCCGCAGCCCAGAGCCTCCTCTTCCTGGGGAAGGAACGGGCTTTCCTGGGACCCGGGCCACGCGGGGTCGTTTCGGAACCAGGGAAGCCCAGAGTGGCGGGGCCGGAGCCGGCGGACTCGGCGAGTCGGATAACGGTGCGGGAATGGGGGTCACTGGGGCAGCGGAGGATTCCCCGGGGCCCCGGGGGCGGCAATGGCCGGGCACCGCGGGGACCGGCAGCCTTTGGCAGACAAGTCCCCGGCGGCTCTCCAGGCACCACCTGAACTTGGCGCGGGGGCGGGACCTGACGCCTGGGATCCTCCCCCGGGCCCCGGGACTCCGTGGCGCACCCCTGCTTGGGGGAACCGGCCTGCAGAGCCCCCGCACCTGCGGCCCACGCACCAGCCGCCGGCGGGGGCGGCGAGGCTGCCGGGAGTTCATTTCCTCCGTTTTCCCTGCGCTCACGCCCCCTCCTGGCGTCCCCGCATCACCTCCCGCCGCCGCCGCCCTCGGTCCCGGCCGCCGCCGTCTGGAGGCGGCGATGACTCAGGCTTTTGCAAGGTCTCGCCTGGGGAGCAGCCCTGAGCATGGGGGTGCGTGCCTGGCGCGAGCCTTCCTCTCTGGGCTTAGCAACATGGACAGGCAGGTTCTGCCCCCGTGTGACTTCCGACAGGGACTTCCCTCTGCCTCAGTTTCCTCATCTGCCAAGTGGGTGGCTGTCAGGGCCGCGGGCAGAATGTGTGTCAAGGGCCCCAGGGTCCTGAGAATCAGCGAAAGGCATTGAGCATCCGCGTCCCAGGCCCTGCGGACAACCAACAAACAATAAATACGCCTGCCTTCGTGTCGCTGAACACTCTGTGGGGTGAATCAGACAAGAAATAAGAAAACAGAATTAAAATAAGGCATGGGGATTCGGATGGGGCAGATAAATAAATTCGGAGGGTGGTTTGGGGAAAGGGACATTTGAGCAGAGATCTGAGGACAGTAGGGAGGGATCCATGTGGATATCTGAGGGAAGAGTTCCAGGCAGTGGGAACAGCAAGTGCAAAGGCCCTGGGCAGGAGCATAAGTGTTCAAGGACCAGAGAGCAGAGTGAGCTGGGGAGGAGGGATGGGGAATGGTGCTTGTAAAGCATTTTGCAGAGTGTCTGGGACATAGTGTTTCATATATAGTAACCGCTGTTATATATATATAATTGATTTCAGAGAGGAAGGGAGAGGGAGAAATAGAAACATCAATGATGAGAGAGAAACATTGATCAGCTGTCTCCTACATGCCCCATAATGGGGATGGAGCCCATAACCCAGGCCTATGTACCTATTGGGAATCGAACTGTGACCTCTTGGTTCATAGGTTGACGCTCAACCATTGAGCCAAGTGGGCCTGGCCACTGTTATTATTTGCAACTGATACTGAGCTTTAAAAAATGAGATGTGTCCTTGCGTACTTGCATTTATGAGGGCTGAACACTGCACATCTGCTTGCTGAGCCGTCGTTGCAACCTCCCATGCAAAGTACAGTGACTTCCCTATTTACAGGTTAGGAAACGAGGCTCAGCGAGGAGAGGGGACGAGCTCAGGGTGACCCAGCAGGTAAATGGGGTCCCGGGATTTGAACCCCGGTCTGATTTTAGATGCCAAAACCACTGGGCTTCAAGCCTCCTGGCTGAGAGGATTTGGAAGCCAATGATAATCTCCCTCAGCATCGGTGCTGTAGGAAAGGGCCCTAGCTCTTTTCAGCCAAGCTTCTCTAAGGAGTGGACTTCACTCCCATCTGTCCTTGCTATCTCTACTTCCTCCCACCTCCTCCAGCCTTCCAAAACTCCCCTCCAAAGCAGCTGCTGACCTTCCAGTGTGCTAGTCCCACAGCCTCACACGAGCTCTCATTTGTTCACTCTCACAGAGTAGCCTTCATGGATCATTCCCTCCTTCTTCTTTTTTTAATCACCTGATCATCTCAATAGATGAGAGAATTATTGCTTTTTAAAAATATATTTTTTTAACCCTAGGAGGTTTGGCTCAGTGTGTAGAGGATAGAGAGGCCTGCGGACTGAACAGGGTCCCACGTTCGATTTCCAGTCAGAGCACATGCAGGAGGCAGCCTATCAATGAATCTCTCTTATCATGGATGTTTCTATCTCTTTATAAATATATTTTTATTAATTTCAGAGAGGAAGAAAGAGATAGAAACATCCATGATAAGAGAGAAGCATTGATAGGCTGCCTCCTGCATGCCCCCTACTGGGGATCAAGCCCGAAACCCAGGCATGTGCCCTGATGGGGAATCAAACGGTGACCTCTTAGTTCATGGGTCGATGCTCAACCACTGCACTACCCCAGCTGGGCCATTCCCTCCTTGAAAGTCATTTGTCCCTTGATATCAGACACCTTGTCATTTCTAGTTCTGCACCTACTTCTTCAGCTGCACTATCACTGTCTCCTACCTTCTCCCTACATATTTATATTTTCCAAGGCTTTGTCGTAGGTCCTCAGCCCCTTTCTGTACACTTAGCCTAGAGTCTAAGTGTGGCTCTTTGGCCCCTTGAGTTTTTAGCAAAGCTTAGGAGTACCCTAATTAAGTTAATAACAATGTACCTACCTATATAGTTTGAGTTTTAAAAGTTTGGCTTTCAAAAGAAATTTCAATCGTTGTACTGTTGATATTTGGCTCTGTTGACTAATGAGTTTGCTGACCACTGGCCTAGGCCACCATGCCAGAGTTTGGGTTCCATCTGGCCTCAGGAGCTTAGCACTTGCTGTCCTTTACCCAGAACACTATTACCACAGATACACATGGTTTGTTCATTTACTTCATTTATATCTCTGTTCTCGTCATTGTATGGGTAAGATATATGCCCTACCTTCTCCAGAAAACTACATTTCCCAGGTCTCCTTGCACACAGGCTTCCTGTTAAACTCACCCAATGGGAGCCAATGGAGGGAGATTGGAAAGTGGGGAGGAATGAGCCAAGGTATTTCTCTCCTTCAGCTTGGGATGGGGGGTGGGAGGGTATTCTGACTGATTGAAGAACTCCCACACAGAGCCCCTTTCTCATCACATCACCCTTTGTCATGTCCCTCTAATGGCCTAGTCCTATGGCTTATTGCTGGATTCTCTGATCATGCCATCAGTTTGGCTTCTCAACCCTTCCATCTCGCACTCAACCAATTCCCTGTATTAAATTCCCTCTCTTCGAAACCCTAACCGAGTTTGTTTCCCTGACTGAGTGATATGGCCATTAAGGGCCTTCCCTGGCCACCTCATCCACACCACTCTCAGTCCTTTACCCTGCTCTATTTTTTTGAACAGCATGTGACATTCTATTCTTTATGGTCTGTCTGCTCCATTAGACTTGCCATTTCACAAGTCTGTATTTTTCACAGCTGCATCCCCAAAAGTTGGGGCAGTAATTGGCCCAAGAAATTGCTGAGAGACTGATTAAATAAATCTACAACTGGGGCCTCCCAGAGGTATATCTGCAGCCCAGGTCTCCACCTGGAACCGAGATGCCTGAGCCCATCTGCTTCTCGGAAGCTCCACTTGTGCCTTTCACAGTGGGACTAGAGCAGGCAGCCTCCGCCAGCACAGCCTCAATCAACAAGGCAGGTCTGCCTGGCCGGTGCCTCCGTTGTTGGAGCATCCGCCTGTACGCTGGAAGGTTGCAGGTTTGATTCCAGTCAGGGCGCATACCTAGGTTATGGGTTCAATCCCTGGTCCTGGTCCTGGCGTGTACTGGAGGCAGCTGATTGATGTTTCTCTCTCTCCTTCCCTCCCTCCCTCCATCCCTCCTTTCCTCTCTCTCTAAAATCAGTAATAAAAATGTATCTTTGGCCGAGGCCGGTTTGGCTCAATGGATAGAGCGTCGGCTTGGGGACTGAAGGGTCCCGGGTTCAATTCCGGTCAAGGGCATGTACCTTGGTTGCGGGCATATCCCCAGTAGGGGGTGTGCAAGAGGCAGCTGATCGATGACTCTCTCTCATCAATGTTTCTGAATCTCTATCTCTCTCCCTTCCTCTCTATACAAAATCAATAAAATATATATTTTTTTAAAAATGTATCTTTAGGTGAGAGGAAAAAAAAAAAAAAGGCAGTATCAAGTATTGGTGATGATGAAAACCAGAACCTATTGCAAGTGGCAGTATAAAATGTTGCAGCCACTTTGAGAACCAATTTAGCAGTTTCTTTAAAAGTTGAACAGAAACTTACCATAAGACCCAACAATTCCATTTACCCAAGAGAAATCAAAGCATGTCCGTGGAAAGGCTTAAATATTCATAGCAGCATTTTTCATAAGGAAGGAAACCACCCAAATGCCCATCGACTGGTGAGTGGATAAAACTGGTCCACCCATATGGTGGAATGCCATTCAGCAACAAAAAGAAACGAACGACTGACACAT